GTAGGGGGTGATGTTGCTGTAGTCGAACGGTGAGACGGACGTGTAGTTCAGTTTTGGGCACGCGTACGGTGCTGCAGGGATTATATATAGGTGTAGTAGTACCTCTTCGGGCTCTTGTACACCTTTTTCTTGCTACGTGTGCGTGTTCTTTAGATCCTCAGATGGCTCTAGCACTTTCGTGACCACGGGCCGAGAGTCTTTGCTAGATTTTGGCATTTAGCAACTGGCATACGGTTTAATGTGAAGTCAACAACAACAACAACATATAATTAAGGAGAAATAAATATACGCACAGAAAGACTACCCATTCGAGATATACCCACAGTCGAACGGGATGTCCACCAGATGCCTGCTAGGCTGTTTCTTCCTGCAAGCGGCTCCTTGCGTGGCCAGGATTTTTTGGGGCTTGCTGCTTTCACGGATGCGTGTTCTTGACGCAAGCATCGGACAAGCGCACAGCTGGCGCTGTAACATCACTGAGAACGCTAGCTAGACCTGCCAGACTCACATACATCCAGGTCTATTGAGGAGATGGACAAGCGGTAGAAGCGACGTTCAGTCCGTTCTTGGTCCAAAACTAGACATTCCGTAGTGCTCTCGGCTTCAACACACGTAGCCATTTGGCTACCCTGGCAGGGTGGCCGAAAAACCACCCTGCCAGGGTACGCACCTTGTGAACGGCAGAAGGGTGCACCGCCGGCAGGGTCTTTTATAGACACCCTGGACAGGGTCCACCCTGCCAGGGTGGCCCGAATTGCACCCTGTGAGCAAACTGCGGCAGCAATTTTGTGTGGTGTGCTGTTTTGAACTCTGTTTTTTCGTGGTTGTCGATAGCTTGTGAGCATACGCCTCCGGGTTAATCGCGAACGATCCCGGTTTTTTTCATGCCATGTCGTCGCTCAATCGTACAGCACCAACGTCGACACGATTATCACGCGCATCCTCTGCACAGATCGACTCGGCATCCTGCCAACAGTCATTTCTGCGTCAGGGTCGAATCCACGCAAAGAAGGATGTTAAGAATAATAACAGTGTGCCCGATGCTCGTCACAAAACCCAAAAAACATCACGCAAATGTAATGGTGGGGCTCACAACCCCAACTTGATTGCCACGCTTTCAACGGAATGTGAATGTGCACGACATGTCCATGACGTGCACCAAGCAAATCAGGACGCATGGTGAGCCACACGCTCGACGAAGATCCAAAAAAACATGCACAATGTGTCACTTTCCCCGCAGCAGCGAACACCAGCGAACACCATCCGAAAATGTAACGGCCGTGTCCATCAGACGGCTGAACCATCGGTAGACTGCTGGGGCTGTATCCTCTAGGCCAAACACACCTACGCATGTATCATACGGACCGACTTATACAACCCTGGCAGGGTCGGCACCCTGACAGGGTTCCTGCCCGTGGACCTTGTGGGGACCGATTACCTTGGCAGGGTGTCACAGCGTCCGTACAGGGTCTATTTGCCTGCAAGGTCCGCACAGGGTGAACCAAATGGCTACGTGTGAACTGCTGCTGTTGGTGCTGGGGAATCTTTTTCAGTTGCACACTGCAAACACGGAAGGAAACAGTAGCAGAACGAGTAAAGCAGCAGCACCAAGACCTCCAACGCGCTGATTCGTTCGGTTCGGCTGTCTATATGACAACCGGTCGCCCGGGTGGTCTAGTGGGTAACCTCANCTGTGTGGTTTGTCTGCTGTGGTCCTGTTTTGCGCGTGCTGTTCGGCCTGGTGCGGTGGTGTTGTGCTGTGGTGTGTTGGCGTGTTGTACGCAGCTGTCTTGAGTTTGAAAATGGGTTTCTGAGTGTGTGGTTCTGGAGGCGTTCTTGGCGTGCACGTTCTTGTTTACAAGTGCGGCGTGCAAATAGGGGTAGCCGTCCGTACAGGGTCTATTTGCCTGCAAGGTCCGCACAGGGTGAACCAAATGGCTACGTGTGAACTGCTGCTGTTGGTGCTGGGGAATTTTTTTCAGTTGCACACTGCAAACACGGAAGGAAACAGTAGCAGAACGAGTAAAGCAGCAGCACCAAGACCTCCAACGCGCTGATTCGTTCGGTTCGGCTGTCTATATGACAACCGGTCGCCCGGGTGGTCTAGTGGGTAACCTCACAGCCTGCTAAGGGCCAGGTCATGGGGTCGAGTCTCGGCAGAGTGAGATTTTTTCTCACTAAATAAATCCTGGTCTAGGATGAAAGCGACGTGCTGCAAAGCTCGTTGTTAGTAAACCATAGTCGACTTGATAATCGCGAGGCAAGGGATTGCTGTACCCTTCTCGCGAAAATACCTCAGGCATGAACCGCAGGAGGGGGTCCAGCCCCCCCCCTCCTATGTGACCCCGGTTGGGTCGTCTAGCTAGTGGAAGTGGAGGATAGGGGCCAGAGGGGCAGACGACAGAGTCCAATGATGGGAGGAAAAAATATATATGATACCATCTCCCGGCGCCGTGCTGCTTGGTGGGTATTGGGTGCTCGGGTGGTGCTCAATATGATGTGAAAGAGACGTACGTGTGCCACCTCACCAAATGCCGTTGGAAAAAATGCGGCGAGATGATCTGTTTTTTGTCGGACACGAAGATATCAATCCACGGCACCACGCAGCAGAAGAGCAACAGGGCCTCCAATTCTTTCGGGTTGGCTATCTCTATGATGCTGGCCGTCAGCGCGGCTGCCGCCCTATGATTGTTGAGCTCGTCTACCTTTGGGCAGCTGGTGGTCAAAGATGGCAGTCGCAACCGTGAAAAATGAGCTGACAAACTGAAGGAATCGCAAGCAACACCCAGGTTGCGACAATCTGCCCTACGCCTCTTGTTACTGAATACTGAAAACAGCAGGCCGGGTGGATAGGACCCTTCGAAGTGTGTTGTCCTCTGTGTCGGGTGCTGCTTATTGCGCTTTTACGGCTGCTCGATGGTGAGCAACACCAAGTCAACCTGTTGTGTGCCGAGCAAAGCGTGTATTCAGGGAAGGAACGTAATTTTTGTTATGACATCATGACTAGAACAAGCGAAAACAAGTCGGGTTTTCTTTTCACCGTTCCGTGGAAATTTACACGACTCTTCCGAAGCGTTAATATCGAGCCTTGCAAGTTAGCAGTCGGTCCCGCCCGGACGCACATGTTTTTTCCCGAAAAGAACGTCCTTCAGCGGGGTTGCGTCCTTAGAATTCGGGGGACGATAGCTCACCATCCCCGGGGCCAATGGAGGCATGCCATACCTCAAATTACGCGTCTTTTGCTAAGGAAGGGTGTGGTACGAAAAGTCAGCATTGCCAAGACGACTGGCAACCGTTTGTTCACGTCGAACATATGTACGATACTTAAAATGAGATGTACCGCAGTAGGGGACGTGTTGAAAACAACTACAGCACACCAGTTTGTACTTGGGCAATTAATGTACTGCATAGCCGGCAGCGGAAGCAGGAAGAAAGTCCAAGCAGACATATATATATATATATCATATTTTTTTTTTCTTTGCCTTCCGACAATTGCAAATGTAAACCTCAGAACACTTTCACTTAATGTGTTCTACTCTACATGAATGTTGAACCAATACGAAGTACAACAACATATGTAGGACTTATTTCTACTGTCACTTACATCGTGAAAATATCTCCTCTTCAACTTGAAATACAACCAATGACAATCCTCATGGTATCCTATATGCGTTCGTAAGCTTGCTAGAATACTACTGCGTTGATGTCCTCTTGTAAAAGCTGAATCCAACAAATAAATGCTTTGATCCATGCTACATCTCCGTGTTGGAAAAGCCCTTTCTTCTCCGTTCTATATCATTCTTGTGAAACAACAAAAAAGCGAGCGTATTTCAGCGTCGCACCGAGGAACACCAGTACATGTAACTGTCCCGGCGGAGACCAAAAGCTACCCTGACGGCGTTTCCCTCCACATATATATCGCGCGAATAATTCCCTGAACCTCCCCCCANCGCGCGAATGATTCCCTGAACCTCCCCCCAGCGGCTTGGCTCTACGGCTCTGTTGAGTCTCATGAGTAAACGAATGAACGGTCTTCGAAAGAAGGTACTCCATCTCACGGTACCCGCCACCCCTTCCCTTCGCGTACAAATATGCGTAGGACCGAACGTCCTCCAAGCGAGAGATAACCACGCCCTCGGTGAGGGACAAGGTTATGCACCACGTTTTTTGTGGCGGTATCAGATGGACCGCCCGTAGATGGGAGGAAGCTATCCATAATACCAACACCCAGTTACAGCTGCAGCAGCAGACCGCTCGCTACCACTTCTGCTGTCTGTGCGTCGCTTCTTCTGCACTGGTGCGTGGTGCGTGCAAAGAGCGGCCCGCAGGACACACAATGGGGGGTACGCGGCGGAAACAATAGGGGTACCCCATTATCGTACATTCTGCCGGGGTCCCTGGTGCTCAGCAAAAATAGTTACCTTGAAGCGGGGAGTTTCCTTAACGCGAGCGTCCTTAAAGCGGGGTCGACTGTACTCGGTAGGTAGGTGTGGGGGGTGTTGCTGTTACAATTATGTCGTTGTATGTTCACATGAAGAACCGGTCCCTGCTCAGGTACCAAGTGTAACCGACGCCCGCCGGTCCTTAATTCGGATGCCTTCTTGCTTGGTTATCACAGGCCAGCACCCAAAAACGGTATATGCTTCTGTAACTTGATTTAAGTGCTAAGTGTTACTTCGTATATGCATGGAAGCCGAANTTAAAGCGGGGTCGACTGTACTCGGTAGGTAGGTGTGGGGGGTGTTGCTGTTACAATTATGTCGTTGTATGTTCACATGAAGAACCGGTCCCTGCTCAGGTACCAAGTGTAACGGACGCCCGCCGGTCCTTAATTCGAATGCCTTCTTGCTTGGTTATCACAGGCCAGCACCCAAAAACGGTTTATGCTTCTGTAACTTGATTTAAGTGCTAAGTATTACTTCGCATATGCATGGAAGCCGAACAACACTGTTCTCGGGGATCATCACCTGGTGTCTCCAACATGTCACTCGAACAAACATGGCCATACATCAACTCGTCGAAAAACATCATTTTGCCGCCCACACAAATGTTCAGGATACAATTTGTGTCATTCGGAATGAATCCATCCGAGATCCGGTTCCTGGTCATGAAGACAACTTCGGTGTGGGGGCTGTTCTGTCAGGTCGATGACAAGAACTACATCTTTCCGTGCGTTTGCCGTCGGAGTTCGACGTTTCCACTTATTATTATACTTCTAAGTATACCTGGTTCTTCCGAAACGTCTCACAAATACCCGTCCCTAGGTCGCCCTAGTCGGTGCTGGCACTTTTCAGGTTCCTCCTCTTTCCCGCGATATCGTTCGGGGTTCCCGTGAACGATCGCCCGGCCCGGCCCGAAAACTACCACCCCACAAAGTATGAAAGGATGTTTCAATATCAATATTTCCAGGTCTCGCTCGATCTCAGAGAGGTGATAGTTTTCTGCAGATATTGCACCGAAGACGAAGACCACGTCAACGTCACCATCAATTTCCAGACCTTGTCGACATGGCACCCTCATGCTCACAATTTCCCCCCCCCGGTGTTTCCCATCGGGGTTGGGTTTTCGTCGCTTGCCAACGACGTTGTAAAGCAAGCCCCCCCCTCGGTGTTTGCCATCGGGATTGGGTTTTCGTCGCTTGGCAACGACGTTGTAAAACAAGCCGCCCCCCCCCGGTGTTTGCCATCGGGAGTGGGTTTTCGTCGCTTGGCAACGACGTTGTAAAACAAGCCGCCCCCCCCCGGTGTTTGCCATCGGGAGTGGGTTTTCGTCGCTTGGCAACGACGTTGTAAAACAAGCCGCCCCCCCCCGGTGTTTGCCATCGGGAGTGGGTTTTCGTCGCTTGGCAACGACGTTGTAAAACAAGCCGCCCCCCCCCGGTGTTTGCCATCGGGAGTGGGTTTTCGTCGCTTGGCAACGACGTTGTAAAACAAGCCGCCCCCCCCCGGTGTTTGCCATCGGGAGTGGGTTTTCGTCGCTTGGCAACGACGTTGTAAAACAAGCCGCCCCCCCCCGGTGTTTGCCATCGGGAGTGGGTTTTCGTCGCTTGGCAACGACGTTGTAAAACAAGCCGCCCCCCCCCGGTGTTTGCCATCGGGAGTGGGTTTTCGTCGCTTGGCAACGACGTTGTAAAACAAGCCGCCCCCCCCCGGTGTTTGCCATCGGGAGTGGGTTTTCGTCGCTTGGCAACGACGTTGTAAAACAAGCCGCCCCCCCCCGGTGTTTGCCATCGGGAGTGGGTTTTCGTCGCTTGGCAACGACGTTGTAAAACAAGCCGCCCCCCCCCGGTGTTTGCCATCGGGAGTGGGTTTTCGTCGCTTGGCAACGACGTTGTAAAACAAGCCGCCCCCCCCCGGTGTTTGCCATCGGGAGTGGGTTTTCGTCGCTTGGCAACGACGTTGTAAAACAAGCCGCCCCCCCCCGGTGTTTGCCATCGGGAGTGGGTTTTCGTCGCTTGGCAACGACGTTGTAAAACAAGCCGCCCCCCCCCGGTGTTTGCCATCGGGAGTGGGTTTTCGTCGCTTGGCAACGACGTTGTAAAACAAGCCGCCCCCCCCCGGTGTTTGCCATCGGGAGTGGGTTTTCGTCGCTTGGCAACGACGTTGTAAAACAAGCCGCCCCCCCCCGGTGTTTGCCATCGGGAGTGGGTTTTCGTCGCTTGGCAACGACGTTGTAAAACAAGCCGCCCCCCCCCGGTGTTTGCCATCGGGAGTGGGTTTTCGTCGCTTGGCAACGACGTTGTAAAACAAGCCGCCCCCCCCCGGTGTTTGCCATCGGGAGTGGGTTTTCGTCGCTTGGCAACGACGTTGTAAAACAAGCCGCCCCCCCCCGGTGTTTGCCATCGGGAGTGGGTTTTCGTCGCTTGGCAACGACGTTGTAAAACAAGCCGCCCCCCCCCGGTGTTTGCCATCGGGAGTGGGTTTTCGTCGCTTGGCAACGACGTTGTAAAACAAGCCGCCCCCCCCCGGTGTTTGCCATCGGGAGTGGGTTTTCGTCGCTTGGCAACGACGTTGTAAAACAAGCCGCCCCCCCCCGGTGTTTGCCATCGGGAGTGGGTTTTCGTCGCTTGGCAACGACGTTGTAAAACAAGCCGCCCCCCCCCGGTGTTTGCCATCGGGAGTGGGTTTTCGTCGCTTGGCAACGACGTTGTAAAACAAGCCGCCCCCCCCCGGTGTTTGCCATCGGGAGTGGGTTTTCGTCGCTTGGCAACGACGTTGTAAAACAAGCCGCCCCCCCCCGGTGTTTGCCATCGGGAGTGGGTTTTCGTCGCTTGGCAACGACGTTGTAAAACAAGCCGCCCCCCCCCGGTGTTTGCCATCGGGAGTGGGTTTTCGTCGCTTGGCAACGACGTTGTAAAACAAGCCGCCCCCCCCCGGTGTTTGCCATCGGGAGTGGGTTTTCGTCGCTTGGCAACGACGTTGTAAAACAAGCCGCCCCCCCCCGGTGTTTGCCATCGGGAGTGGGTTTTCGTCGCTTGGCAACGACGTTGTAAAACAAGCCGCCCCCCCCCGGTGTTTGCCATCGGGAGTGGGTTTTCGTCGCTTGGCAACGACGTTGTAAAACAAGCCGCCCCCCCCCGGTGTTTGCCATCGGGAGTGGGTTTTCGTCGCTTGGCAACGACGTTGTAAAACAAGCCGCCCCCCCCCGGTGTTTGCCATCGGGAGTGGGTTTTCGTCGCTTGGCAACGACGTTGTAAAACAAGCCGCCCCCCCCCGGTGTTTGCCATCGGGAGTGGGTTTTCGTCGCTTGGCAACGACGTTGTAAAACAAGCCGCCCCCCCCCGGTGTTTGCCATCGGGAGTGGGTTTTCGTCGCTTGGCAACGACGTTGTAAAACAAGCCGCCCCCCCCCGGTGTTTGCCATCGGGAGTGGGTTTTCGTCGCTTGGCAACGACGTTGTAAAACAAGCCGCCCCCCCCCGGTGTTTGCCATCGGGAGTGGGTTTTCGTCGCTTGGCAACGACGTTGTAAAACAAGCCGCCCCCCCCCGGTGTTTGCCATCGGGAGTGGGTTTTCGTCGCTTGGCAACGACGTTGTAAAACAAGCCGCCCCCCCCCGGTGTTTGCCATCGGGATTGGGTTTTCGTCGCTTGGCAACGACGTTGTACAACAAGCCCAATCACTTCGTGAACTCGGCAACCAGGANATCGGGATTGGGTTTTCGTCGCTTGGCAAAGACGTTGTACAACAAGCCCAGAACTCGGCAACCAGGATACCGTTTTTTTTTTACCTCTTTTTTTTTGGCGGTAACCATAATGGTGGTCGAGTAGATCATGTTGTACGGGGTGGAGAAGTANCGACTATGAGTACCCCCCCCCCCTCAATGTTGCTGCTTTGCTGTTGGCAGGCAAGGGGNGCTCCGTCCCGGCTTTGTAGGGATGCGAGGTCAATGGTCTAACGACTACGGCATGCACGACTATGAGTACCCCCCCCCCCTCAATGTTGCTGCTTTGCTGTTGGCAGGCAAGAGCGTGTGCTATCTGCGCCATCATTGTCCATGTGGGTGCCCTGTTGGTGTTCGGCTGGCTGTGGGTGTGGCAATGGATTGCCTCTGTCTTAGCCTTCATCATGTGCGGCGTTCTCCTGTGCATGTACGATCGGTGCGCGTACATCACGGGCGGCATCTGCTTCGCCGTGGCCGCCGTGTTCGACATCTTAGTGTTGGTGGGATGGTGAGCCATGTGAATAGTTAAGCTGATACCCAAGTATTCTGAACTTTAAAGTAGGGCAGTTCGCGTTCCCCGTGCCATTATCTACCATCTTCAAGATCGACGGCCTGGCCCGTGCGTGCGTTAAATGTGCTTCAGTGCCGACAGACATGGGTTATAATGATCACCCCTGCAGTTAGACCACGGGGGTGAAGGGTGCAGGAACTACGAAGATCAGAGACAAGGTAAACAAGCAAGAGGATGACTTGAGTCAATGGTTCGAAACGACACCCCCTATCGCCGATGAACCCGTAGTCTTTGTTGGTGTTTTTCTTCCCCGTGCATGGGGGGGGGGCGGGGGGGGGGTACTCATAGTCGTGCATGCCGTAGTCGTTAGACCATTGACNTGACTTAATATATTTTCTGGTTCTTTCACTTCCAGAGACAGTTGTAAGCACTGTGTAACTGCCTCGAGGGTGCTTGACCATTTTATCACAACGTGGTGCGATCATCCCCCTAGCCCGGAGCGAGGGTTCTCCACCCCGCACAATCTGATCTACTCGACCACCATTATGGTTACCGCCAAAAAAAAACAGAGGTGAAAAAAAAAGCCGGTAACCTGGTTGCCGGGTTCACGAAGTGGCTTGTTTTCCAACGTCGTTGCCAAGCGACGAAAACCCAACTCCGATGGTAAACACCGGGGGGGAGGCGACGTAGGGGGGGGTGTAAGGAAAGCGGAGTTGCTTGCCGTGCCGGCTGGCCTCTTAGGTTCGAGAGATCGCACACCAAAGAAGGGATGCTCCTCCAGACACGACAAAGAGTTCGCGCCAAAAGTCTCCAGAATCGAAACCCACCATGTTGCTGAGGGTGCAATCGTAGTGACACGCTCTCTCGCATGCTGCGTGCACGCTCCACCAACAAAACAGGCATCACAGCGCAGAACCCTGGTGTGATCGTAGCCTCCGGGTTTTCGCGTCCGGGCCCGAAGACATAGGCGGTTGATATTCAGGGCGGCTTGGCTGTGGGACGTTCTGCTATGAATCAACACGCCCGCAGTGGGCAGAGAACCATCGAGGGCTCGGACCCGACGAGTTCGCCATCTTTTGTGGTCCTGTCTCGTCATGTGGCTTGAAACGGCCCCCTGTGGTTTTGGTGTGGTATTCGTGAATTGGAGACTCATGCACTCAATATTGTATGTAGACTGTAGACAAGGGGCCGGCTCGGCTCTGCGGGCGACCGTCCTGCTGCGTACCTGCTTTCCGTTTGTTCATCCGAAAACCCCAAATGGTGCCTTTCCTGTTTTTTCTCAGGATTGCCATTTACAACAATCTTCAAGACGACTACTACAACTACTACGACGACGACTACTACAACAACAATGACGGTGAGTGGGAGGACTGGAAGAACGTCATCCTCTGGTTCGCCCTACTCCCCTTCCTCGGAGCCCTTTCCTTGGGCCTCGGTGCCGTGTTTTCCTTCACGTCGCTGTGCTTCTGGAAGGACGCCGGCTCCCCCGCGGCGGCGATGGCGGTCACGACTGCGCACGTGAGTGTTGACGTACTGTTGGTATTATTTTTTTTTTGTGAAAGCGCAAAAACTACATACATTCGAAACGAGACTACCGTTCGATATAAAATACCACTCATTTCCGTTAGGTGAATCTGACTGCTTGCGTGGCACAACCATTTCCCGCGAACGAAATGCATGTCAAGGTAAGAGCCGGCACCCCCGTGTGGAGGTAGCAGCATTCGTTCTTTGAACCGCGATATTTCGAGGAGACGAGTACGGATACGGATGCCGGTGTTGATAACAGTACCATTACCACAACTTTTGTCTTGTACGCTCTGCCTACCCGGCAGGTTGGTATGGTTGACCTTTGTCGATAGTCGAGCAAACACCACGACCCGTTTGACTGCGGTACGGGAAGACGCTGCCATCCGTAAGGGGCGGAGGGGTGGCGACCCCGTCAGACAGACTTTCAAAGCCCGATCACTCAAAACTCAAGATTGTGCAAACACAAAAAAATGTTGCTTTTGGAAACACCTCGTCGAGGGCGTTCCGTAGGCGTGACGGGCTCTTTCCTCACCACCTTGGCTATAGGAGCAATCGAGCTCTGAAAGTCGGTCGAGGGGGGGGTGCCATTGCTCGGCTTTTTACGGTATTTGGCCGCGTTGGTCCCTTGCTTCGAGCGCCATGTCGGTTCACACTGCAGTTAGACCAGCGGAATTTTGCCTTGATCAGCAGCAACGGCCTTTCGACATCCTCCGCTCTCTTTGGTTTGGGATACGTTGCCGTCGGCACCACCAGCCCCCCCGGTACGTATTGTCGATCGTGAGACTCAGTGAGATCTTTGAACGTACATCGTTCTTTCTTTTTTCGTTTATCCTCCCAAGTTATCAATGATATGCTGTTCACCTTTCTCGGTGCGGGAGGTATAGGTGGGTAGTACTCTACATGTTTTCTCTGCTCGCTCGCACAGCACTTGAGGAAGTCCCTCTTCGGTAATCTCCAGACTTCGATGAGATTCGTGATTCTTTGCCTGCTGAAACTCCTTCCTCTGACTCTTTTCCGATCCAGGTCCCGGCACCTCAGAACACCGTCAGCGCCACCTACCAGCCTCAGAACGAGCACCAGCACCACGAGCGGTATCACTACCAACAGCACAAGGCCGCGGATCCCCAACAGGCACCGCCTTCTGCGAGCGAAAGGCCGCCGCCCCCGGGTTACTACCAGTGAGGTTATGACCTTCGCCGGCACGCTCGGTGGCCGCTAGCTGCCACGTAAACGGGGGCGAGCCTGGCCGGCGAGAACGTAGCAAGGATTGATTGTCCCGGCACATGATGTGGTGAGGGATAGATTCCGTCAGTCTCGTGGTTGCTTGTCCGTGTGGAAGCGGAGCATGAAAGCACTCCCGGTGTATCGATGTGAGCCCCCCACATGTTTGTAGGTATTGGATTGTGTAGCAATGGCATGGCCGGTATCATCCCCAGAGGGGGGTGAATGCTCCAGGCCCAGAAGGCGTGCAAGGGTAGAGTCACGCATTTTGCTGAGTGCTGATCCTTGGATTATTTCGTTGTTTTGTTCTTTTTCGCATCCCGTGACGAGCGGGAACGATGGGATCGTTTTGTTTTTTCTTGATCCATCCCATTCGCCCATTAAGTCACCAGGGACGTTTCACTGCTGTATTGGTGGAAGGTCTGGCTTGGTTTGGGCGGTTTTGTTGGAGGTCGGTTGTGTATGTGCTCAGTAGTTTTGTATCGATTTTTCTTGGTCCTGGTATGTCATTCTTGTTTCTAAGAAAAAGGGTGCACCCTTTGTACAGTGCCAGCCCGCTCGCAAGAAACAATCTGGCAAGAGCTTGAGCCTAGGTTTTTACTAATTAGAAGAGGGCCGTAACAAACTACACCCATTTGATGAAGTACCATATGGAGAAATAACAAATCCAATAGACCTTCCATCGGTACGAAGCGTAAATATTTGGGGTAGGACGTGGTACGAGGGAACGACCTTCGACCCCCGTGTCGCAGGNGACCTTCCATCGGTACGAAGCGTAAATATTTGGGGTAGGACGTGGTACGAAGGAACGACCTTCGACCCCCGTGTCGCAGCTCGACAGCGATGACGACTTCGATTAACGGTGAGGAAATTGTTTGATCAGTCGTTGAAGACTGCCTTCTGGAAGCGTTTTTGAGTTCTTAATTGCGGGAGATCAGCAGGTCGTGCGGCTGGCACGCAAAACAACCAAATTTAGAAGCCACGCAAACTTGCCGCGTTTTGCTCGTGTACGATCAAGCATCATCACAAGCGTGGGCTTGCCTCTTTGTCTAGGGTGTAGACGAGTCGAATCCAGCCTTAGGAGCATGGGCCAGACTACATGGAGCCGAAAGACGATGACTGCGAGTGCTCGCGCATCCTCAACGTTTATAATATCGACTAAGAGGTGAGAGTTGGAGTGCACATGTACAACAGGTCGGGACCAATTTGGCCATTGAGTCTCGAAGGGGAGTCCCTTTTTTTCCGCCCTCCGGAACGAGAACGTTGTGCGTGCACACGATCGTGTAGTTCTGTTGTAGAGTACATGCATACTGGTACTGTAGACATATGCGCAATAGTGGGCGCAATGCATATTTTTTTCAAAGTCGGATAAAGGGCTGCCGGCGAATGTCAAATGAAGGTGGCGCGCAGGGTAGCTAGCTTACCGTAGATGGTGGTACGGAGCCCGTTGACCGCTGTCATGTGTTTTTTTTCTCTTCAATTTTTTTTGCGAGGCTGCAACAACGCGCTTCGATGAAGAGGCAACAAGCGCCGAGAACACAGCAGTACAGTTTGTTTGTTGTTGTTGTTTCTCACGTTAGCTCTAGAAGAGTAAATGTGCCGATTAAGGACCACTTAACGGAGCCCCCGCTCTGAGAGGTCGTTCTCGGGTGTCTTGATTTGTGGCGACAGAGAGGTATCGAACGTTAGCTTATAACACGACCTAAACGATGAAACAACAAAAAACAAAAATAATGAATGTGGTGATGACATGGTGCCAGCGTAGTATTCTTCATTTGTCAGGGGAAAATACCGGTTATACACAGATGCCCCGATTGAGGACCACTTCGAATTCGTAGTGATTGCGCACGTTCTAATGATTTCCAGAACTTTTCCTTTGGCAAGGATCGTTATGGTAGTAATACAAAGCATTTCCGAAAAAATATTTTAAAATACATGCATGCCCGGGGACAAAAACAAGAAATCCACGTGTTTTTTTGCCTGTTTTGGGGCCAAAATGGCCTACTTTGGGCACCACGGAAAGAGGTTTCAAGTGTTTTTTGCCCGTTTTTTCGTCGGTATCGTGGCAAGCACCCCTAGAATAGACACCATGCAAATTTTTGTTGTCACCCGGGTTGGTTTCGTCTCTATCTGACATACAAACGCGGTTTTTGCCCCATTTGGACGAAAATCGAGGGGGCAAAATAAAAAAAAGGAAAAAAAAGCGGATGAAAAAACGAAATGCACGACCCAAGGTTCGAACCTGCCTCGTGCTGAGTCTTTAGAGAGCACCAAATCACTGGACCACATAGTGGCCGAAGCGGCTACGGAAAACTGCCAGTGTATTGTTGTTGACTTCACATTAAACCGTATGCCAGTTGCTTAATGCCAAAATCTAGCTACCCTGGCAGGGTGGCCGAAAAACCACCCTGCCAGGGTACCCCACCTTGTGAACGGCAGAAGGGTGCACCGCCGGCAGGGTCTTTTATAGACACCCTGGACAGGGTTCACCCTGCCAGGGTGGCCCGAATTGCACCCTGTAAGCAAACTGCGGCAGCAATTTTGTGTGGTGTGCTGTTTTGCACTCTGTTTTTTCGTGGTTGTCGATGGCTTGTGAGCATACGCCTCCGGGTTAATCGCGAACGATCCCGGTTTTCATGCCATGTCGTCGCTCAATCGTACAGCACCAACGCCGACACAATTATCACGCGCGTCCTCTGCACAGATCGACTCGGCATCCTGCCAACAGTCATTTCTGCGTCAGGGTCGAATGTTAAGAATGTTAAGAGTGTTCGTGGGTCTACGGACATGGTTTGGATACATTAGCCATACGTACAAGTGTGACGCAGATGGTGTAGAACCTTTTAGGTAGGGGTACGGTGATGATGCACCGGGACCCCCTTTGTTGAGTGCAGCAGCCGCGCTGCCACTCTCTCTTTCTCCTCCTGCTTTCCGAGCACGACAGCGTCCTGGGTACGGGCGTTGTCTCACCGTCTGAAGTTAATACACTACACAAACAAGTCCCGATAAGTACGCGGAGT